TCGGGGTTAAGGGTAAAACCTGGCCAGAAGCAGGTGAGACCTTGGCGAGACGGACTTGGACCCCGCGGAAAAAAATGGGGGAAAAAACAAAACATGTCATGTTGATGGCTTGCCGGAGAAAAGGGAACATGAAGGAATCTCGCAAGAGCACGGGTCGAGCGGATGCTGATGCGTAGACAAGGTAGTTGAGGCACCCCAGAAGAAGACGCCTGTCACGCAATGAACATTTCACGATCCAAGGGTCGAACATCTGGCCAGCTTGCGGCCTCGCTTTCGTTTTCTTAGCCCAAATGGGCGCTGCTCATAGCGCTTGGACCTCCTTTTCGTATTCAAAGGAAAACCAGAACCACCATCTGTTGGTTTCCTTTGAGAAACCCCCTCCTATTGCAAAAAGTGCAATAGGAAAGCCCGCACCCGCCACACAAAAACAAAAAGTAGTCAAGCCGTGGGTTTGTTTACATCCTGACACCAATTGAGAGCCATTTGGCAAAAGGATGGGTGTCGCGGCCTTCCGTTTGGCTTCCCTCTCAAGCCACAAGAACAAGGTACCCCAAAAAGAAACGCCCACGTGGAACCGCCGTGTTTGTCCTTCGCTTTCCCCACGTCCCCTCTCTGCTTTGGGCGCTTCGCGACATGGCCACCGGGGCCAAAGGCGCTTTGAGCCCCCGGCTTGATGCGCTCGCCATTGGCCAGGCACAGCATCTTGTTGTCGTCCAAGACCTGGCCGCTTCCCTCGAAAGGAGCGGGCAAAACCAACCAGACTTCTGGTCTTTGGGCTCTGCTAGCTTTAGGTAGTAAAAAAAAACGCTAAAATGGCCAATGGGGCTTCCTTTTAGCTGTTCTGGAATCCCAAGTAAGCCAGGGAGTAGAAAGCACACTGAAATGGCCAATGGGGCTTTGGAGCGCTGACCAATTGGGCAGAGGAATCCACAGATTGGGCTTTGTTCTTTTGGTTTCCTGGTAGACCAACCCCTTGAAAGGGTCTCTTGAATGTAGGGCATTTGGATAACAGCAACTTGGCGACACATAAGCCAAGTGAATGTTGGCCCCGGAAGGGATCTCCCACCAAACTCATCTGACCTCAGGCAGACTCCAACGCTAAAGAAGGTTGCCGAGATATGTTAAGTTTTGTCTGAATCCTTACAAAGGAGCGCACTCCACTTTTTCAGATCCTGAGCCCATTCAAACAAACAATGTATCTTTTTCGGCATCCAGTCAACGACTTCAAGGAGTCTATGATCATGCCGGACGCTTTAGAAGGCGTCCAGCATACCACGGGCCTCTTCGACTAGACTGCGCATTTGATTGAGTCCAGCCACGTCCAGCCAAGCAATCAGCTTGTCGACAGCGTGCAATGCTGGTTAACTCCATGTGCAAGACTATTGTTTCTGCTCCAAGAGGCATCGGCGCTGGTATAAACTCCGTGTCGGATTACATCGAGTGCGATCAGCCATATGTGTGAGCGACGAGCCTGGCTCAGTTTCACGTGGACAACAAGAGAAGAACCTACCAGCGTGTGCAACAATGGCCAAGTTGTCTGCGACCACCCAAATGCTCGAACCATTGTTATATGCAAACATGATGTCTAGCCAGAGACCACAACATGCACTGCCAATGACCATTGAACTGTGAACTCATGAACTACGTATCGCATGCCCCACGCGTCGCCAAACAAACTCATAGCTCAGTGGACATGTCAATGTGTCCCACCATCTCCAATGTCCACCTGTCACCGGATTCACTGGGTCATCGCCAGGGTCGTCAGAAAGTTGACATCAAACAACAAATGCTCTCCTGCAAATCAACATTGCACCAAAAAAGACATGTTCTGAGACAAAAAAAGAAGATCTGAGACAACTCAAAGATACTCAAAGCACCAAAGGGAGCCAAAAGGAACCAAAGGGAAGGGCCAAGGAAACTGCCAAGGACCCAAAGATCTTGTGAAAGGGAAACCCAAAGGAGACAGGAGCCTCTGGAGACTCTGGTCTGCCATGGGCAAAGGAAACCAAGGCCAAAATCCAGCACAGGGTCCGGTTTCTTCATTTCCGGCACCCGGTGCCCCGCCCCAACCCGTCGCCCGACATCAAACACAAGCTCCCGCCGTGTTCATGTTCTCGATCCAAATGGCATCAACAGGGCCATCAAAGAGCACCTGAGCATCTAATAGAACTTGGCCAGTGGAAAATCCTGCATCTCTTGATTGTGCGATGCAAGTCGCTAACCCGCTTACCCACGCATGGTGTCAAGAAAACCGATCAGTTGCCCTTGGGAGTGTGCCTATGGGCAACCTGGCCTGGTCTTTCCAGGAGCCCTTCTTTTAAGAAAAGCGCTGAAAAAACGGCCGGTTGTTGAAGATGATTGAAATTAATGGAGAATCCACCCTATAGAATGTGTCAAAACTAGGAATCCCTTCAAATAATTGCTTCCATGTTTCTTTTCTTCCAGCATCGACCAATAGAAGTGGCTGGTTTGGAGCCATACTGCTTGAGTGCACATGCAAAAACAAGAGTGAGATCAATGCTGCACCGCACTTTGTGTAGTTGCAGGTTCTGCTTGCAGCGTCCAAGACGTTCCCTGGTTCTGCAGGTTTCTGTTGGCTTATTGACCGCTGCATGTATCTTCATATTCGCACCATGTGAGTTGATGGAAGTTGTGCTCTCGAGCCACAGAAGAGGCAAAGACTCAGTCCCATGAAGCCGTGCCTCAACGTCTAACTTGGGCCACCCTTTTTTTGGACATCCAGCTGCTGTTGTCTGCGGCAATCCTGGGACATGGGCATAGAAAGCATGCGGGTGTGTCCGACAGAGAACCCCTTGCGCAGAGCGACCCTTTATGAGAAAAACATGGGCCGTCGCTGGGACCGCAAGGGGATGACGCAAAGGTAATCATCGCAACTGGCCCTAAAACATTGCCCTCTGCCGTTCCAATTCCGTGGCCCCTTCCTGGGTTGGTCCCTTCTTTTTCGGCCCCTTCTCGAGCAACAGGTCGACAACCCCAGGCTTCATGGAACCGATCGAGAAAGCTATTCTCCAAAGGTCTTTTGGGGCCGGGGTCGGGTGTGAGACCACCTCAGAAAGTGGGAGAAAGCGCCGGCAGCTCCAAATCGCTGCAGGCGTTGCTCAGAAATCCCGTACACAAAAAACAGGATCCCGGAAAAAGGAGCACCAAGAAACAGTTTAGCATCTTCCTGAAACTCTAGCAACTTGAGCTTTATGTCATCTAACGGCTCGGAGAAAGTCAAGGGCCCCCTTAAAGGCATGTTCAGACTGTTCAAACAACCTCGTTTTAGCCGGTGCCAGCTGAACCCCATAGGCGCCGCGGTTTTTGGCAAAATCTTTTACCCAACCCTTGGAGCAGCCGAAGCCTTCGCGAAAACCGCCGGATCGATCGATCCGAGGCAGCGGCCCACTTCTTGTTGTCCGAGGTATCGCTGACCGCCTCGCGCACCAGCAGCGCCACCTGGGCGCGAAATTTCCGCGGAGTCGGCCGAGAATTCGAGGCTTACGCAGTTGACTCATCCAAACGACGAGAGTTCTGGAACATTCATAGGAGCAACTTGTCAGGTGGGTATGAGTCTTAGGGGACCCCTGTGGACATCATTTAGGTGGGGATTCATGTACACCAATTACTTTTGAGGTGGTTTCCTTTGAAATTCATGGCCTGGGGATTGTTTGCAGAGAACCGTCCAAACGCCCCTATGGCTGGAAGACCCCAACCCTCCATTGAACACCCCGCGCCAACTGGGAAAACAAATGAATCACCATTCTCAATTCTCATTTGGTTTCCACCTGGGAAAACAAATGAATCAATCACCACTCTCTTTTGGTTGTTCTCCCAAAAGCAAACAAAAGAGCACAATTGAGCGTCTTTGCCATGGCACCGCGCACCCGCCGGGATCGGTTGGAACGGTCGTTGCCAAGCCGTCCGATCCGGGCTGCCGCGCCAAGCCGTCCGTCCACTCCCCGGTGTTGATGTTCGAGAAGCCATAGAGCTCCTGACTTGCGCCGCGTCGGGAGCCCTTCAACGTGAAGGACCAAAGGTCGGCGGCGAAAAGGGGATGGGTGCAAGGAGACACAAAAGCGGAAATGGGAAGACGTGGGAGAAGCAGGTTTGGAAAGGCTGGTGGTCAAGAAACAAGTCAAAACCAACAACTTGGACATTGCACACTCCACCGTACAGCTTGCTTTTTTGTGTGCAGGTCCCATCCCTACTGGGACAAACCATATGCCATACCTCAGGAAACCGGAGCTCCTTTTTCGGCGGCCCCGAATTTTTGTTCAAACAGGCCGAAGAAGGACAACCCAACGTCGCAAAGAACCCACCCGTGGGTCCCAAAGGCGGCTGGACTCAACCGGGCAAAGAGCCTGTCCGAGACTGAAGTCGATCGAACCAAGAGGATGTCTACTTTTTGCTTGGGCTGGTGTTTTCCCAAACAATTATCCCAGGCGATTCCACGGAGCCCCTTAAGACTGCCCATTTCAGACAAGTCTCAAAAACCAGATCCTCGCCCCG